CCTCTATGCCCATCAAAGATTGCATATAATGAATAGATATGACCTTCTATTTCAATTAATGGATCACAAATAACATGAGCATCCTATTTGAATTAACTCTTTTTTATTTCTTTTGATTCTTGAAAACAAACTTCCATTGTTCTTCGTTTTGGATAATTTTTATCTGAGTAATATGAGTATTGAGAAACAGTCACTGGGTTTGATGGTATTTCACTCATTCCACTATGAAATATTCTTAGTTCTTTTCTTTTTGTTTTTATCTGAAAATGTTGTTTTCACATTGTTTAGTTCTTCTTGTTTTAATGATGGAGAAGAAGTAACAATGGTGGTGGTTCATTGGTATTTAGAACACAAAGGAAAAGAGGTATAAATGAATGAGAGAAGAGTGATGAAGAGAAAATAAAAGAAGAGGATAGTAAAAATACTAGAAGTAATAATAAAGAAAGAACCCTTCAAAAGGAACAAAGAAAGAGAAAACAGAATAATGTCTGAAGAAGAACACAAGAAAAGGGGTGATGAAGAAAAAAGTGAAACAAAGAAAATTAAACAAAAACAAGAAAGAAAAGGAAAGAAACAAAGAAACACTGAAAGAAAAGAAGAGAAACAAGAAAAGAGATTTGACCGAAAAGGATTAAGTCGGGAAGAAAAAGAAGAGTTACATAAAGAAGACCAAATCTATAGAACAATATTCATCCAAAATTTATCATTCAAAACAACTGAAGAAGAACTCAAAGAAAAAATGGGAGAATATGGGGATGTATCATATTGTAAAATTTGTATGGATAAAGAAAAAGGTATTAGTAGAGGAACAGGATTTGTTTGTTTCAGAAAAAGAGGAGTAGCAGATAAAATTATTGAAGAAGCATATATGTTTTCAGGGAATAAAGAAAGTGATATTGAAATTGATGGAAGAAGATTAATTCTTCAGAAAGCAATAAAGAAAGAACAAGCAAAAGAAACAAGTGATAGTAAAAAAAAGAAAAAAGAAGGAATTAAAGATAATAGAAATGTTTCATTAGCAATGGTTGGACAAAAAACAAAAGAAGAATATCTTCAACTTGGATTAACACCAAATGAAGCAAAAATTCGATTAAAAGCACAAATGGAACGAAATAAGAAATAAAAAAT